CTGCCTTAGCCTCCCAAGAGCTAGGAATCCCCAGCATCTTTTGCAGAAGGAAAGAGAACCAAGAGACGGAGAGAAAAAAGGGGAAAGAGTAAAAGAAATTAAGATATATGATGTGCATGTGCCAACTCCCTAAGGGGAAAGTAATAAATATGTACTGCAAAGGTGTCAATAAAAATTTAAAAGATAATTAAAAATAATGTAATTAGAAATAATTCATGAGGACTAATAGCATTTTCTATGCCTTTATCCATAGTGATACATTTTTTAACCTTTTAGTGACTCATGATTAGCATTTAAAAATGCACAATGCCTACTTTGAGAACATTTACTCTAATAAGATGGAAAAACGCAGAAAAAGTTGCCAGATTGCTAGATACATATGAATTACCAAAGTTGAATCAAGAAGATATAAAATTCTAAATAACCAAACATCAGGCAATGAAATAAAAATATAATTAAAGGTCTGGGGAGGTAGCTCAGCAATCTAAGCATCTGCCTGGCAAGCACAAGGTCCCGAGTTTGATCCCTGTACCACATGCCATGCAAGCCCCCGAACCCTGGGTGCACTGTGCTAGTCACCAAAACCAGGCATGGTGGTGCACACCTGTAATCCCAGCACTGCGGAGGCTGAGACAAGAGGATTACTTATGAGTCTGAGCTGCATAGAGAGGCCCTGTACCCAATAAATAAATTAGTGAAAGAAATTTTTAAAATTTTAATGTAATTAAAAACCTGCCAAAAAGAAAAGTACAAATGCTAATGGATTCACTGCTAATCTTTTTTTTTTTTTTTTTTGGTGGAACTGGGGATTGAACTTAGGCCCTTGCGCCTGCCAGGCAAGCACTTTTTCTACTGAGCCATCTCCCCGGCCCTTCACTGCTAATCTTTATAAGAACTTTAGAGAAGATCTAATACCATGACTCCTCACACTATTTAATGAAATTGAAAGGGAAGTAATAACTCCTAATTTCATTCCTGGAAGCAAGAATTACCCTGATACCAAAACCAGAGAAAGAAAAGAAGGAGAAGGAGGAGAGAAAACATCCGTAAAATTTGTTTGGAAACAAAAGAGACCTCGAGTAGCAAAAACAATCCTGAGCAACAAAGGCAAATTAGGAGGCATCACAATCCCTGACTTGAAATTATACTACAAAGCTGCTGTGATAAAATCAGCATGGTAGTGGCAAAAAAAAAAAAAAAAAAAAAAGAAGTAAAGCCATGCTGTTATGTTGAGCTGTAGGGGACTCAGGTCAACAATTTCTGATGTTGCCAGTCAAGCAGAAGACCCAATATTATTATGTGCTACTGGACTCTTTTAGAATATTTTGCTGAGTTTACACACCTATAATATTCAAATAACAGAACTTAACAACAAAAAGGGGATGCAGATGAATGTCCATTTTGTATCTGTGTATTCAAATGGTAGGACTGATATACAGTTACATTCTCTTAATGAATAGAGGGATTTGTTCTAATAGTGTTTGTATGTAGGATATCATGTCTGCATTTTGTACAGCAATTAACCACTAGGAAGAATGTATACAATGTGTTAATTATTAAAACTGTCCTAACAGTTTGGTTTGAAATTGTCTCATTGCTATTTGTTTCTCAATAAATTTATGGAAAAAAAAAAGACCTGAGGATAAATGGAATAGAATAAAAGATACAGGGCCAGGGAGGTGGCTCAGTGGAATAAGCGCTTCCCTGGCAAGCATAAGGGCCTGAGTTCAATCCCCGGTTCCGCAAAAAAAAATAAAAAATAAAAAATAAAAAATAATACAGAAACAACTACAAACACACTCAGCCACCTTTGCTTTGACAAAGTAGCCAAACACATTTACTGGAACAAAGATGGCCTTTTTAAAATGTATTTAGTACAGGGTCTCACTACACAGATTGGACTTGTAGTGATCTTCCTGTTTTCAGCCTCCCAAGGGCTGGTATTACAGGTATGCACCACCATGCACAGCCTCAGTTGTGGCTCATCACACCCCAGGGGTAGGGGAGGCACAGCATGTGGTGCCAGAGATCAAACCCCTATCCCTGTGCTTGCCTAAGTAGGTGCTTTAGTCTGCTGAGCTATTTGGCCAGCCCAAAGATGGCCTTTTAAATAAATGGTGCTAGAAAAACTGGTTTTCCACATGCTGAAAACTAAAACTAGACCAATGTCTATTACCATGCACTAAACTAAAGAAGGATAAAAGTATTAAATATTAAATCAGAAACACTACATCTGCTAGAAGAGAGAATAGGTTGAATTCTCGAAGACCTAAGTATAGCCAAGGATCTCATGAACAAAAACTCAGCTGCACAAGAAATACTACAGAGTCAACAACTGAGAGCTCATTAAAACACACAGCAAAAGAAAAGAGTGAAGAGACAACCTACACAGCAGGAAAAAATTTTGACCAGTTGTTCCTTACACAAAGGACTAATATCTAGAAAATACAAATAATTGAAAATAAAAAGAACCTCCCAGTTTAAAGGCCCAATCCAAAACTGGGCATCTATGATTGATACACACTTCTCAGATGAAAAAAAAAAACAAAAACAAAAAACACATATATGAAAAAATGTTCAACATCACTGATCCTTTAACAGATACAAATTAAAACAATGCTGAAAGTCCATCTTACTCTGAGAAAAAAAAATGGCTATTTATCAAGCCATCAACCAACAACAAATGCTGGAGGCAATGTCAGGGAAAAGGAACTCTTCTCCACTATTGGTGGGAGTACAGACTGCTACCACCAACATTGAAATCAGTGCAGAGATTCTTCAAAAAACTAGAATTAGATGCCCTTTTCGTCCCCTTTTTTATGTGTTTCCAAAGGAATTAAAAACATACCACAGCAATCTATGCACACCCATGTTTTTAACAGCAGAGTTTGTAAGAGCCAAATCTTGTAAACAGCCCAAGTGCCCAAATGGCCATCACCTGGGAAATGGATCAAGAAAATGTGTGGGTTTTTATACAATGGAGTAGTACACTGCCATAAAGAAGGATAAGCTTGAGAGGTATAGCAAGGTAAATGGATACACCTTGAGATCATATTCTTAGGTGAAATAAATTGCATACACATGTATAAATATCACATTCTTTCTCTGGTGTGAGAAACTGAAAATGTGAATAAGGACCAAAATGTTTAATAGATATTGTGGAATAGGAAGAAAATATTTGGGTGGGAAGGGGAACTAGGGAGGGCAGAGGGGGAAAGGAAGGAAGGGCAAAGAAACAAAAACAAAAAGAAGAAAAACAGGGAAACAAAGTTTTCATAAATAAAGAGAGGAAGAGCTGAAGGGAGGGTAGGGGAAGGGAAATAAAAAGAATCAAGTTGGATCATGTCCAGGAACAGACTCCCTATGATAAGTGTGACCATTCTGTATACCTAAAATGTACCAATCAACCTAATGAATGTTTTTTTTTCCTAATGAATGTTTTAAAAAGAACCAAAATATATAAAAGTGTCAAATAAGAAACTTTTCAAGAAGAAAGAACTAGGGAGTAGAGAGGGTAAAAGGAAAGAAAAGAAAATGTGAGCAAAAGGATAAAATGAGAGCGGCACAGTGCCTGCCTGGCAAGCACAAGGTTCTGAGTTTGATTTCAGGCACCCAAAAAAGAGAGGATAAAATGAAAACAAAGTTCTGTAAATAAGGAGGGAAAGAAAGATTGAAGGGAGGGGAGGGGAATGGGTAAAAGGAGGAATCAAGATTTATCATGTACAGGTACAAATTCCCTATGATGAATGTGAAAAATTACATACACCTAAAATGTACCAATAAACTTAAATTTTAAATCTTTTTTTTTTTTTTTTTTTTTTTGGCAGAACCTGGGATTGAACTCAGGCCCTTGTGCTTGCCAGGGAAGCGCTTATTCCACTAAGCCATCTCCCCGGCTCCCTTAAATTTTAAAATGCACAAAATATAGTAAAATGTACAAAAGTACAAAACAGTAATGATGAATATGTGGGTTCTGCCCTGTTCTAATGTTTTGAAGCTGACAGTGATTGCAGTCTGACTTACAGTACGTTTTCCATTAAAATATACACCAAATTTTCCTCAGCTACCACCCTTTCTGATGACCTCTTTAGTAACAACTCTCAGCTCTTTCTTCGTTCAGAAAGGCACACCTTTTCATATGATTAACTAAAACATCTTCTTCTCTCCCAAACCTGATAAGGACAGCAGCAAGACATGGCAGTGGGTTGCTTAACTATCTCCTAATCTACACCAGCAACTCTAAAATCTGTCCAAACAAATAGGAAATCTGAGTTCACAAACTGCATGATATGTAAAAAGACCATTTCAAAGCATCCCCTTAGCCCTCTGTCTCAGCAAGATTTTCTTCACAAAAGTATTTTTATAGACATGTTGGAGCCACCAATTAACAGGACCATTTTTGTTTGTTTAAATATGTTAAGGGTTTTTAATATTTTACAGGGTTTTTTGTTTTGTTCTGTCTTAAGATAAGGTCTTACTATGTGGACCAGGCTGGCCTTGAACTCACAGTGATCCTCCTGCCTGAGCTCCCTGAGTGTTGGAATTACAGGTGTGCACTAGCATGCCAAGCTATACAGTGTTTTGAAATCATTAGAGTTCCTTTAAAAATAAAAAGCAGAAGAGGAAGATTGCAATTTCAAGCCCAAACTAAGCAATTTAGCAAAGCCTTTCTCAAAATAATAATAAAAAGGGCTGGCTAAATAGCTCAATGTCTGATCCCCAGTACCACAGCAAGGAAGAGAAAAAAGGGCCCGGGGGAAGAGAGGAGAGAAAGGAGAAAGAAAGGAAGGGGGCCAAGCATGGTGCTACACACCTGTAACCCCAGAACTGGGCAGGCTGAGGCAGGAGGAACAGTGTGAGTTGAGGCCAGCCTGAGCTACATAGGGAAACCCTATCTCCAAACAAAACAAAACAAAATGAGGAAGGGAGGAAGGCAAGAAGGTATCCTTGTGCAATTTGGCCATTCATTCTGCATTCAATTCTGAAGACTCAATACTTACACTTCCGGCCCACAAATCTTCTCTTTCTCCTGAAAGTTTAACATAAACAGATATCTCTTCTCCCTTAGTGAAGTTCAGATATCGGCAGTCAGGTCCTGTGTGATCTCTCACAGCTAAGACTCTGCTCATTAAAGCTATGCAAACATGCAAAGAAAAACATACACATTTTAAATTAGAATATTATTTCTTCTCCCTCCATTTTGCCCTCCTCTCTTCCATCCTATATATTTCCAAATGTTAATTTCTTAATACCATTTCTGGTCTTGAAAACCTACGTAAATTTTGCACTGCCCCTCGAACCAAGACCTGGTTTTTAGTTTGGTATTCCAGGATGTCCATCTCCTACTCCCCCATTCCCTATTTAAAAGGATCTCCTCACTGGTCATGGTGGTGCACACCTATAATCCCAGCACTCAGGGGGCTGAGGCAGGAGGATCACTATGAGTTCAAAGCCAGCCTGGGCTACAAAGTGCATTCAAGTCCAGCCAGGAATGTAGAGCAAAGTCATGTCTCAGAAAGACAAGAAAGATAGAAAGACAGAAAGAGAGAAAGAGAGAAAGAAAGACAGACAGACAGGCAGACAGAAAGAGAAAGAAAGATAAATCGTCTCTTCCCAGGGCTATGGATTGACCCTGCCATGTGTCATTATCATTCTGTAGTCTATCAGAAAGGAAAAAGATAATTTGTGAAGCATTTTCATAGTTTTAGTTTATTAAATCCTTGGGACTGGGGAGATAGCTCAGTAGAATAAGTGCTTGCCTGCCAAGCACAGGGTCCTGAGTTCAATCCCCGGTACTGGAAAAAAAAAAAATCTCAAAACATATCTTAAAGGCAAATTAGTTCATAATAGTCTAATAAAAAAGCTTTTTTTTAAAAAAAAGACATTGTCTTGCTAGGCAGTCCAGGCTGACCTTGAGCTCACTTTGTAGCCCAGGCTGGTCTCAAATTCACAATGATCCTCCTGCCTCAATGATCCTCCTGCCTCAAATTCACAATAACCTCCAAGTGCTGAGGTTATAGGCATGCACCATCATGCCTACCTCAGATAAGCTTTTCACTAAGCTATAGCAACTGGTTAGTCACACAGTACTCCTCTCCCCCCCCCCCCCCGCACCATCACCTTCATTATTCTGGGCTTCTATTTCTGCTCTTTATTTTTTGAGACAGGATCTTGCTGTATAGTTTAGGCTGCCCCTAAACTCACTGGCTGGCCTCAAATTTGTGGCAAACCTCCTGACTCAGATTCCCAAGTGCTGGGATTACGGGCATGCACCACCACACCTGGCCTATTTCTGCATTTTTCTCAGCCTAGAATCCTGCCTAGGTTTCCTCATGCTTCATGTGCACCCTGAGGCATGCCCAACATTCCAGCCTGCTCTGACCGCCCCTTCTCTGAACCCCAGTTTGCTGCATACACTTACTATCCTGTATCACTACATATTGTTGCATTTAATGTCTTCACATCATTGGGTAGAACGAAACTCCCTAAAGGGTAAAAAATCTATCTTACATTTTAGCTATTGCTTAGACACATAATACCACCCACTCCTCAGATCCAGCACACAGTAGGCCCTCAGGGACATGAATGAACCCTAACCACAGAAGCTAGCATTAGCCCTTGAAAACACCAAGGGATGTGCCCTACTAAATACTATAATGATGCTAATGTGTACAATTTTAATTTTTTTTTTTTTTTTTTTTTTTTTTTTTTACAGAACCAGGGATTGAACTCAGGCCCTTGCACTTGCCAGGGACGCACTTATTCCACTGAGTCATCTCCCTGGCCCCAAAATTTTTGATGAAGACACAAATTAAAGTTAAAATAGCCTTATACGTTGCTGTAATTCAGAATGTTCTCTTTCATATTCTGTCAGGCCCTAAAGGATACTAAAATGTGGGTATAATGAGAAAAAGAAGGATTACTTTTATAAAATACCATCTAATAAACTTCTGTTCATATTAAATTGCATACTTAAAAGTTTAAGAAAAATGGTTACACATAAAATGTCATTCATGAATTATTTGTTTCTATACCAATAACATTTTGTATTTTAAATATATAAATTATAAATTAAAAATTAATACACAAGTTGGAGAAGCACTTATTTCATACCATAATGCTAATAGTAAAATACTTATGTTCTCAAACAATAAAATAAAAATTAATTTCCCATCATAAAACATCAAAGAAGCTTAATATTCAATGGTATAAAAATATATTTGTATCTTAACACTGATTTTACTATTTTTACATAATAAATGAACATAGAAATATTAACATTTGATAAAGTTTACAGAATCCATCATTCTTTCAAATAAAAAGTTATGAAAAATAACAACCAGCCGTCTTGATTAGAAAATATAAATTAAAAAGTACAAGATAAATAAAGAACTGTGAAATGGCTTGTCATCTTTCTTATATATAATATCGACTGTATTTATCTTTAAAAAAACAGTAAAAGGCCCAATTAATTTGTGATGTATGAATATCAATACAACTTCTAGTACATACCTGTATCAACCTGATCTTTACCCTTTGTATATTTACATTAAATACCACAAGTTGCTTTGCTTCCAGAAGTTCCTTCTTATACAGAGTATATACTTCACAGCTCAAATATTTCTCAGTAATATGAATCTTCATTTTTATCACGCATGGCCATAATAACCTTTTATGTCATCTCAGAGCCTCTATTTTGAGGAGAAAAAGGCGAAGAAAAGCAAACTTACTTTCACATTCCAGGTCACCACATTTTTTCAGGTCTGCCAGCAGTTTCGTACCCTCCAGATACTTTGTCAGAGAGACAAACAAAAGAAGGATTCTGTGAACCCAAACCTCCGCCATGCTGATCCAGCAGGCATCCAGAAATCCCAGCGAGAGCTAAATTGGTTGTTCAGATGGTAGACATGGCAGCCACACAGCAGACATTCTCCTTGCTTCACTAAATCCAAGCGAGAATGGTTTGGAGCTTTTCATCCTTGATAATTACATTTCTCTAGCAGTTTGTGTGCTTAACTTGAGAAACAAACACACTCTGTTCCCAATCTGCAGCGTCAGGCATACAGATAGCACATAAAGGTTTAATAATTAACAGGCATTTGTAGTTGGACTAATGACTTACAAAGGCAGACTGTGTAAAACTATCTTGTTTAAAGGTATCTTGTGTTCCACAGAACAGTTCTTTCTTGTGTTTATTTTTGTGCTACTGAGTGTTGAACCCACAGCCTTTGCCCTGAGCTACATCCCAGCCCTTTTTAAATGTTTTACATTTTCAGGCAGGGTCTGAAGAAGTCACAGGGTGGCCTCAGACTCTCAGAATGCTGGGCTTGCAGGTGTGAATCACCAGGCCTGGCTCACACCATGGTACTTCACAGCCCTCACAGTAAGTAGCTAATCTCTGTGGCAGTCTTCAGATAAGTCAACAAGCACAAAGTATTTGCTCAGTCAAATTCTAGCTTCAACAAAGTATATACATAGATGTGTGTACAAATAGTAATAATTCATGTCAAAAGTGCATATGAAATATGATAAAAGTATATGAGGAAATATTCCACTTTAATATTTAAAATTTTTCATGCTATTATGAAGTTAAAAATAATAAACAAATGCAGCACATAGTTTTCTGTGTTTATGTATTACCCTAGGTATATAGATCTATGCTCTGACATAACATTATACCAACTCTTAAGGGGCAGGTAATGTTCTTGTCCCCATATTGCATATGAGGAAACTGAGGCACATAGAGCCACTTAAATCACTTATCCAAAATCAGGAAATGAATGGAGAAATTAGGCCCTACGCTCTAGGACGCTCTGTTCTCGTAATCACCATTTTTACCAACCAAGGTCAGGATTACTCCACAGACTGTCATAATACTATCCTAGAAACATCAAATATTGTTCCATGTACTATTTAAAATTATGTGCATTGGGACCTGCTCTTATTGAGAAGTTTTTTCACGTCAAAAGAAATTACTAACAAAGTAAAAAGACAACCCACAAATTTGGAAAAAATCATGACAAATAGGTACTCAGACAAAGGTCTGCTCTTTAGGAATTTATAAAGAACTAAAATATACTAGGGCCCCAAAATTTAAAGACCCAATCCAGAAATGGGCATCTGAGATGAACACAAACTTCTCAGAGGATGAAATTAAAGAAGCGAATAAATATATGAAAAAATGATCCACATCACTAGCCATCTGTGAAATGCAAATTAAAACAACATTGAAATATCATCTCACCCCAGAAAGAATGGCTATCATAAAGAAATCAACCAACAACAAATGTTGGAGAGGCTGTGGGGAAAAAGGAACCCTTCTCCACTG